TTGTAAACATTTTATCTGTGGTGCAATCAACATTCCTTCTAAGTTTCTCTCCTGCTATGACCCTCTCCCCCTGACAGGGACATGGTGGCGCTGCAGGTTAAACCGCAGAAGCCTCTGTGCTGCAAGGTCAGAAGACCAAGCAGTCATAAGATCGAATCCACACAACGGAGTGAGCTCCCGTCACTTGTCCCAGCTCCTGCCAACCTAGCAATTCGAAAGCATGTAAATATGAGTAGATAAATAGGGACCACCTCGGTGGGAAGGTAATGGCGTTCCATGTCTAGCCGCACTGGCCACGTGACCACGGAAACTGTCTATGGGCAAACGCTGGCTCTACGGCTTGGAAACGGGGATGACCACCGCACCCTAGAGTCGGACACGACTGGACTAAATGTCAAGGGGAACCTTTACCTTTACCTATGTGGAAGCATCTCTCTGTGCAGGGGTGAGCAGGGCTTAATTAGAAAAGGGACATAAACAAGCCCGCTGTCAGCTGCCTGTGTGCAATCCCAACAAAGCTCTGGGAGAGCCCATGCACACAGAAGGAACACTGGATGCAATAGAAAGGTCCAAGCTTTCTCTCCTCTTTCCTCTCTCCCTTCCCTCCTTTAGTCACTTTACCTGGCTCTTTTGCAAAGGAGCATGATACAACAGCAGGGTTTTTTTTAAAAAAAGACAGAGGAGATACAATACTCCTTTCTTTACAATTAAAAGCAGGAAATGTCTGTGCTTAAGTCCTCGTTCAAATTGAGAGGGGAAGCCTGTCTCTTTCAAGCTGCTAACAAAAACAATACGAATACAATGCTCAAAAGGAGACATAAGCCATTGTTACTGCAAATTTATCAATATACCTGTCATTTTTTTAAGGGTACAAAGTGCAGTGGCCATGAAACAGCCACAGTGCCTAGAACCCCAACCCCTTTGCAAAGGAAAGAAATAGATAGTAGCATGCACACATGCTAAACCTGTAAGGAATGAATTGATACAATATCAGTACTATTTAAAACAGCCCTCTTGGCAGGAGGAAAATAAACTGGAAATAAACTGCTGGCTGGAAAAATTCATTGTTGTTGACTCTGCTTCATGTGCCAAGGAATTTATGAAACAATATTTTTAAATGGCCATATTGGTATAATTGGGGTTCTTTTGTCAGGTGTGATCAGGCCTTAAGTCTCTTCCTTCCCAAGGAAGAAGCTCCATCAAGGAAGCAACTCATTATCATGAAGAAACTGAAAGAGATTATAGGCAATTGAGGTGTGTGAATCAAACCCATTGTTCAATGTATAGAGGAAGACAATTCTGGAAGCTCAGCATCCTCACAGTGAGGAAAAACTTTTCCTCCTCACACACATTTCTTACGTCCAAGGATCTCAGGTTCATAGTAATAGATTTGTTTAGGGGTTTATAAAAGAACCAGATTAGCTACACTTTTCTTATTTTCTAAGTGTGTACTTTCTTTTGCAACTGTCCAAAGCCTATTTGGAATTTTAAGCTACGAGAATCTTTTAATCGTTGCCATCATCAACATCATCCTAGAACTACAGCGCTGGAAGGGACCTTATGGATCATTGAGTAATGTCCTTTTTTAGTTTTTGTAACTATTTTATCTTTTCGTTTATCTTTTCCTTTTTTATTTTTAATAAAATACATAAAATCTTATCCAAGTGTTGGCTGGTTTCTAAGGCAGAGGAAATCCAGGTACTATCACTGCTGAATAGCTCAGTGATTTCAGCAGTTCAATCCCTCACTGTGCCTCTTTAACAGATGCTGGACTCAGTGATTCATAGGATCCCTTCCAGTTCTGCAGTTCTGAGATTATTTTCAGTTTCTTGCCATGCCAAACTACTGGAGATAGTGACAATTCATTCCGATTAGGTGTGTGTGGCAGCTTCTGTTATGTTATTATGAATAAACTCCCTGGAAAGCATTAAGTTATCCCTATCAAGTAATATTCACCGTCCTGAACAAAGATTTCTAGTTTTTCTTGTTTGTTTCTCACATTCCTGGCATTCATATATAGGCACCTGAGATTATGTGATTTGTGGCCTGCTTTTCCTACATATAGTTTTATGAAGATTGTTGTTGGGCCCCATTAGAGCTGCTTGGTCTGTTCCTTTTATAGTTCATAAACCTTAATCTGTCTTTACCTCTGAGTTTGGGCTTTCCTCCCTCTTCCAATTCAGTTTAAACTCTCCTGATGCAGTTTCTAATTAGATCAAATTAATTTGGCAGGATTTGTTCTTGACAAATCCATGCTGCCTTCTAGTTATTACTGCGTTGTTTTCTAGGTGCTTGAATAATGACTGCTTTATGATCTGTTCCAAAATTTTGCCTGGGATTGATCTCAGACTAACTGGCCTGTAGTTCCCAGACCCTCTTTTTTGCCCTGTTTGAAGATAGGGACAACATTAGCCCTCCTCCAGTCCCCTAGCACTTCACCCGTTTCCCATGATTTCAAGAAAACAATGGATAGCAGTTCTGAGAGTTCTTCAGTACTCTCAGTTGCAGTTAATCCAGCCCCGGAGATCTGAACTCCTTCAAGGTCGTAAGGTATTCCTTGACTATTTGTTTATCAATCTCCAGCTACAATCCTGCCCCCCCCCCTTGTACTTCCAACTTGTTTGGAAGTTCATAGTCTGTCTCATGGGAAAAGACAGAACTAAAACAGGAATTGAGCACCTCTGCCTTTTCTTTCTCATCTGTTATCATTTCTCCATCTCCATTGCTGAGCTGTGCCACTATGTCTTTTCTTTGTGTTTTGTTACTCACATACCCAAAGAATGCTTTTTTACTTGCTTTTAGTGTCTCTAGCTAAACTTAGCTCATTCTCAGCTTTTGTCCTTCCTGCAAAGACTTACATTATAATATTTATTCTTACAATACCAATACACATATATCATATAATACATATCAGTGGTTTAGTTTGGGGGAAAGATAATTGGGCTTCTTTTTTTAAGCACTGACAATATTGTGCAGACTCCACTGGAGTTGCTGGAGGATTACAAATAGTATCCAGTTAGTATCCGAGCAGCAAAAGTTCCTTCGCCGTCTCCCACCTTTTTTTCTTGTCGGAATTGTTTGTAGTTGTGCCTTTAGAATTTCTTTTTTTAGAAGCTCCCACCCTTCTTGGACTCCTTTTCTTGTTAGGGTCTCCTGCCATGGGACCTTACTTGTCCTTGTTCTGAGATTATTAAAATTGGCTTTTTAAAAATTCAGCAGAAGTATGTGGCTACACTCTGCTTTCATTTCCTTTGAAATCAAGAATTCTAGAAGGACATGGTCACTGTCACCTAGAGTTTTGCAACAAGATGTTCAGTCATAGATTGCTAGAATTAGATTCCCACCCACCCCTCACTTTGTGCATATGACATGTAAGACTGAGAAGGTATTTTAAAAATTACTTCTTCATCCAAAGCAATCAAAATCTAGCCAGTACAATGAACTAACTTCTGGTTGTTATTCTCAATAGGTATTAAGTATTAGTCATTTAAGAACAACAAGGGTGGGGTAATGTGAAAAAGAAGCTATCCAAACAATAGCAGGTTATCTTACAAGGAACTGGTAAAAAAAATTATAAAGCCATTTTGCAAAACAGGTTGTCTCTTGCCGCTAATGAGAAAAACAAGAAAAGAGATCCTTTGATTTTTTTTTCAAACTAAACAAATTGTAGTCCTCCAGCAACTCCAGTGGAGTCTGCACAATATTGTCAGTGCTTAAAAAAAGAAGCCCAATTATCTTTCCCCCAAACTAAACCACTGATATGTATTATATGATATATGTGTATTGGTATTGTAAGAATAAATATTATAATGTAAGTCTTTGCAGGGATGAGGACTCAAGTTGTGGGATTCGATTAAGTTGCACTGGTGACTTGACTGAGGCTGGACTCTAGGGTTTGTTTTTTGTTTTTTCAGTGACTCAGACTTGACTCCCAACTTGGAACCCTCCCACCCCTTCCTTTTTTCAGGGTGGGGGGAAGCTTCTTTTTAATAGAGTCTTAGACTTGGGACTTCAAACTCGGGACTTGGTACCAAAGATCCGGACTCGGGACTTGGACCCAAAAGGTTGCCAACATCATATTGTCTTTACGTAAGTTCTATAAAGAGTTCTGGATGCTGTAGTAAGACTGCCCCCAGAAGGTATTCTGTGTTTAATTTAGACAAGGAGGTGAAACTGGCAATACAATCAATTTTGGAAAACTAAACAGCTAAAAAAATGTTCCTTGTGGCAATCAGTAGTTATTTAAACCAGGCTTGTCCAACCTGCGGCCCAAGGGCCGCATGCGGCCCAGGTCAGCTCATAATGCGGCCCAGTGCAATTTTTTATTTTTAAAGAAATTCCAAAGTTTCAAGTTACACTGCCAGCACTTGCGGTCGGAATGTGGCCGGGGCATGTCACAACAGTAGAGGGGGAGAGAGGGAAGGAAGGAGTGGGAGGGGAGGGGACAGGGGGGTTGCGTGACTGCATCGCGCCATACCCATCAATAGGTGGACCCCCTCCTGGCCCCATAAAGCCGCCGGAGTCAAGCTGGCAGCCTCTGCTGTCTGAGATTGCAGCTGCCGGTAAGCGCGCTTGGAGCGGGGCTGCGGAGGACAGCTAGGGCTGCCCCCCATGCGGCCCAAACCAAATGTATGTGCGGCCCAAACCAAATTTTCATCTTCTAATGTGGCCCATGGAAGGTGAAAGGTTGGACAAGATAATTGGGCTTCTTTTTTAAAGCACTGACAATATTGTGCAGACTCCACTGGAGTTGCTGGAGGATTACAAATAGTATCCAGTTAGTATCCGAGCAGCAAAAGTTCCTTCAAAAGAAAAATTCTTAAAGACCAAAAACAGCTTCCTGCATTTTTAATCTCCTTTAAAAAGTTCAGCAAGCAATTTTAAAATATCAGTTTCATAACGAGTTAACAGATACTTAAAAAAAGAAAGAAAGAACTGGACAAGCTTTCAGCCGGAAATGTTTTACTTTCTGTTTCTTTTCCCAGAGCTGCAGTGCTTACTGTATGCAAAACACTTCTGAAACCACACAACTCATTCCTTAACTGTCCTCCTCATACAGCCAGCTTTTAAATGGTAAGAAAATATGAATATGGAAATCTTATTGCAGGGCATAAAAGCCTAAATATGTGAATATTAATAAGTAAAAATCACTTTTAACAGGAGATTCATAATGGGAAGCAACATTTCCTTTGACACGGAGAACTGCATCAACCAAAAGGACCTAACAAGTAAGCATTTTATAATCCACTGTTATTATCATTTATTATTACTCTTATTGCTCTTATGTTATTATTCGTTATTACACTTATTTACACTTCCATGTGATCTTTTTATCAATCAATCCAACCGATTTCTTCAGAAAAAGCTCCATGTGTCTGAAGAAACGGACTGTAATCCAAAAATGCTCACATTGAAAAATTTGCGGCAGTCTTCAAGCTAATATGGTACTTTTGTTTTGTTCTTGGAATGCATGCTGAAACAGTCTAACAGAACTACTTCTTTTACAACTGCTCCATTCTTAAAGGGGTCCAATTACAGAAATATATCATATTATTGCTGCATGAAATATTGCTAACTCCCAGTCCCCTTTTTTGTTATTTCAAAAGAGGACATCTTTTGGAAAAAAACGCAGGCAATATGTTTGTAGAGCAAAGGCTTGGAGACAAGAAGATAGCTTTCCAGTCTGCATTCATTGGAACGGGCATGGCAACATTAGTTTACTCGAGAGGTTAAAGGGTGTGTATGTTTCTCCTTTGTATTTCTTGAACTTACTTCCACCTTTTGTTTCACCATTTCTTTTAAGTCCAAAACAACCTTTCAAATTATTTTAGCACAGAGGGACTACAGTCACATCCAAGTAGTTCTTGGTTCTGACTTCCCCAAATAACCATATTATAGATTATGTGATCATCTTCGGGGATCTTCTAGCACTGAGTGATTCTACATGAGGAAAGGTTCTGCTGGAGTTTCTGTGTAGCTTACATATATTTAAGCTTCTGTTTTAGAAATCCGAGACAAAATGCTTTTTTAAAAAGCCTTCTACAGTAGTTTATGAATGTGTGATATTGTGCTTCTCTGTCGACAATTCAGAATTCCAGGAAATGGTCTGATTTCTGAAAGACACATTTCTTCTATGCATTATGATTACTTTGTGGCTGAAGAACAGCCCTGACAACTGCTTTGTGTTTGGGTGAGAAGAGGTTAAATGATGAAAACAACAGTCGTGTCTCTTTGTGAATAGTAGTGAGCACAAGAGAGCATCTTGTAGACCAAAGGTCCCCAACCCCCGGTCTGCGGCTTGGCACTGGTCTGTGGGCTTCGCAGCACCACACACATGCATGATGGGCGTGGCGCACTTGCATGCAGGGTGAGTATGCGTGTTTGCAGGTGCGTGTGGCATGCTCGTGGGTGGGAGTGGCTCTCTCACGGGTGGGCGTGTGCACTCGTGTGCATGCATGCCTCACTCACACACGAGAACGCGATGCCCACCCATAAATGTGCCACGCTCACCCACTAACATGCCATGCCCACCCACAAGTGTGGGGGTGCCCCTGCCCCTCCACGGACAGACCCCACCCACCCCAACCGGTCCACGGTTCTGAAAAGGTTGGGGACCACTGTTGTAGACCATCTTGGCATCATTAACATGCTATGTAAAATATGGCATCTTTTTTCCTGCTGGCAACGTGAGCACAATATTGTGCAGCAATATCGGGCTTTTCCTGGCATTCTGAATTGGGGATACAGAAACACAATATTGCTCATTCATTAAACTTTAGTTTTTTAATTTATACATTGGATGGTGACATGATAAGCTGATACACATAAGTTAGGAGCAAAGAACTGATGGATCTCATGAAGAGCTTAGGAATTGTGCTTTCATTACTACTAAATATGCATTTGCAAATGAATGTAAATGAATTTTCAAGCCCTGTGAGATACCACGTCTCTAGCATAAGAGGGAGATGAGAAATGCTTTTCCTCCCATCAAGGAATTTCCGATTTATGCAAAATATTTCTTCAGTAATAGGCAAAGCAAACAGACAATGAGCGCAGAAGGAATAGAAATTTAAAAGACATAAAATCTATGAAATTTTTGATGAGACCTATCTGTGTGCATTACACAATTTGCATAAAATGTCCATTTGACAGTATCATAAAATACCTCACCTATTTTGCAGGTTGAAAGTGGAAGGAATTGCAACTCTTGCAATTGTAAGGACAGGACAAATGAGGATTTACATTCCAGTTAGCCAGAAATCTAAGGGAGCACAACTGCTGGTTGTAAATGGAAAAGTGACACTTTTAAAAGTCAGCATCTCATGGGTTTGAATACTACAGCATATAATAGAGGACATTTCTAGGAGATTATCTTCAGTATGATTTCTACTGTTAAACTTATAAGAGAGAAATAACTATATGGGCTCTATGAAAAATCCCAAAATTGTCAGTAACCGAACCCTGCTTTTGAATTCTTCTAAACCTCCTTTATTGTAGAGCTCAATAAGATGGGTATTGTCCCACTGTTTGGTGTGCTGTGGGGAGAGGTTGGTTCAGTGATGATGATATAATTGCTATAGTGAACCAATCCATTCCAAGAGCGCCCTCACCCGCAGCTTTCAAAGGTGGCTTCTGTTTTTTGGTGCAGGTAGGCTCACGGTGTCAGGTGCAGGCAGCTTCTCGATCAACACTTCAGACAAGGCAATTTTAAAATTATTATTATAAGTGATGCAGTGCATCAGCGATGGTCTAGTAGAGTAAAAAAATAATTTCACTCCCCCTTCTCCTTCAAGGATCAGGGGAAGTATTCAGTTTGTCAATGCCCTGAAATGGCTTGCTTATTAAGCCACCAAATTATATTGGAAATTGGCAGCAGGAGGAGTCAGACAAAATAGGGTTGCTTGAGGTTATTTGGATGCAAGGATTACACCTATTGGTAAATCGCATCTCCACCTGACCTCAAGTGATCTTATTTAGACTGTACCAGACCAATCCAAAAGAAACAATGTAGATGAGCCCTGAATTTAATTTTGAATTCACATTTTGGTCTATTCTGAATTTTTTTAAATGAATGTTAGGAGCTACTCACCTGTGCCATTTAAAAATGTCTGCCTTATCTTTTTCACCCTCTTTTACAGGCATTAACATTTCCTGACATTAAGAAAAACATAAGACAGTGCTTCAGTCAACAAAATAATTCAGATATGGAGGTGAAAAGGTACATCAAATTGATTGGGTGGTGATGATTCAGCAAAAGAGAATAACAGTGGAGAGACTTGAGAAGCTAATAAAGTAATACAGCTTTTCCCAATCTGGCACCCTCAAGATCTGTTGGACAGTAGGTCCCATTATCAACAGCCAGCATATCCAGTGATCATGCTGGTTGTGAATGATGATGGTGCACTTCAAAACATCTGGAGAGTACAGTGGGCCCTCGACTTACGAACGGCCCTAGTTGTGAACGTTTCGGGTTACAAACCCGATCTCATCGCAAGTAGCAGACCCTACTTGCGAACGCATATCTAGTTACGAACCAAAAAGACGGAGAAAGGGCGGGAAGTTCAAATTTCCTGCCCTTCCTCCCTGCCTTTGGAGCTTTCAAAGGGCTTCTTTCGACATCGGAGGAAGCCCTTTGAAACCTCCGAAGCCAAAAAGGCAGGGAGAAAGGACGAGAAGTTCGAATTCCCTGCCCTTCCTCCCTGGCTTTGGAGCTTTCAAAGGGCTTCCTCCGATGTTGGGGGAAAGCCCTTTGAAACCTCTGAAGGAACCGATCGTTGCGGCGAGACCATCATGACATTAGCTTTTGAATTAAATTTCATAAATATGTGATATCGGAATATAGTAGAGCAAGCATACTTTCATTTTTATTTCATTGCAACCTAACAAATTTAGGGTACAATGCATATTTGCCTTGCTGCAAATAAGCCATATTGAACTCATTACTCAATATTGTATTGTAAATAAATTACAATTTATATCTAAGTATGCAACATAGGATTCAGAGCAAATGTATCTTTAGCATAATGCTAATCATGCCTTCTTCTTTTTAAGGACTAAAAGAGATACCCCCTCTAATCTGCCTGAAAATATTGAGAATTGGACAAAAGAGCATGTGAAACAGTGGGTGACCAATGAACTCAAGCTTGAAGAGAAACATGGTGACACCCTTTTTCATCAAGATGTCACAGGTACCATTCTGAAGATCTTGACAAAGCAAGACCTTCTAGAAATTGGGATAACCTATGGCCCTGCCGTTCAGATAATGCATAGTTTGAAAGAGAATGATGATCCAGCTAAAGGTGCAAGTAATGTGCATAGACATGGACACAGCCCAGCTCTTGACATTGAGAACTGGTCAAAAGAGCATGTAAAACAATGGGTCACAAATGAACTGAAGCTGGAAAAGAAACATGGTGACACCCTTTTCTGTCAAGATGTCACAGGAACCATTCTGAAGATCTTGACAAAGCAAGACCTTCTAGAAATGGGGATAACCTATGGTCCAGCAGTTCAAATAATGCATAGTCTGAAAAAGAATGATGATCCAGCTGGACACACTGCCAGTGTTTCTGACCAGGACCATACCACCGGACGTGTTGGTGATAAATCTTTCAGCAAAAGCAAGGATAAAGAAGAGGTGGAAGGAGATGGTGACTCAAAATCATCCAATGCTCATGAACCAGCAGAAGAGGCAAACACTGAAAATACTGAAACATCAGAACCCATGATTCAGGAAGCAATTGAAAACATACCTCATGGAAATGGAAATCAGCTTCCATCTAGGCAAACATGCCTCCCATATCCTTTTGATGAATTTCACAATAGTCATCGTTATGTACAACATTATGTTCTCCATATTCCTGAAACAGGCCCACTGAATCTCATTGATCCAGTACACGAATTTAAACTCTTTACAAACACAGAGAATGCCACAGATCAGGATTTGAAGATGAAATTTTGCAATGAGATTTTTAGATTTGCTGCAGCATGTATGAACTCCCGTACTAATGGTACTATCCACTTAGGTATACGGGATGAACCCCATGGAGAAATTGTTGGAGTCAACATCCAGAATAAAGACAAATACATTAACTATTTTGATTTGATGATAAAGCAATACTTTGGAGCTCTTGTTGATATTGCAAAAGAATGCATTAGGAAACCCAGGTATGTGGAAGTACTGCAGCAAAATAGCATTGTGTCGGAAACATTTGTGATCGAAGTTGATATTGTTCCAAAACACTCCAGTTGTCAATCAAAATATTTCCCCACTAATGAATACAACTTCAAAGACAAAAAATGGAAACCATGTTTATTTATAAGAGATGGCGCTTCTTCTAAAAACATCCGTCGTTCTAAAACAGAACACAAATCATTTCTGAGTAAACTAGAGGAATTAGCACAGGCTCGGAAAAAAGCTGAAGAAGAACATGGGGAGAAAAGAAAAGAGAGAGATGATCAAGGTTACAGATTGGTGAGCTTACTCACTGGCAACAGAGACTTGCTAGATAATTCCCATTATGACTGGTATATATTAGTCATAAACAAATGCCATCCTTATGATACACAGCATGTGACCTTCTTGCAGGAAATAAATTTATTTGCTGTTCTAGAGTTTGATCCAGAGTCAGCAAGCAATGGTGTGGTCAAAGCATTCAGAGAAAACCGTGCAGCAAATCTTCATTTGCCAAAGCAATACCAGAAACCTAGGAATTCAGCATCTGAAACAATTGAAGAACTGAATCTCTACCAACAACCCAGTTGGATTTTTTGCAACGGCAGATCAGATCTCAACAGTGACGCATGTCAGCCCTTGAATCCTAGACTGTGGCAGCAACAGAGAGCAGCTGAAGTCAGGAAACTGATCTCATTTCTTTCCCATCCAGATGTAATGCAAAGAGGGAAATTTTTGGTGATGTTTCTCTTGCTATCGAAGGTAGAAGATCCAGGTGATCCCATGATAGAAGTATTCTGTACATTTTATCAAGAACTTAAAGGACTTGATGACATGCTATGTATTTGCATTGGAGCACAAACATATCAGTGCTGGAAAGATCTCTTGCAAGCCAGGTCTATTGCAGCAGACAAACTAGCAGATAGGTGTATATCTAACTTGACTTTACCAATGGTGAATGGTACCATCGAGAAGTTAAAATCAGTGACCCAAACATCTCAGAGGCTTTTACCATCAAAAGGATTTTCTTGTACAATTCTTCCAAAGAAGGAAGAAGACTTTATGGCTGCACTTGAAATACTTTGTGAAAATGAATGCAAAGACACAGAAATCGAGAAAGATAAAGATCGATTTTCTGAATTTAAAAAATCTCAAGAAGAGCATTTTTATCGTGGTGGTAAAGTGTCTTGGTGGAATTTTTATTTTTCCTCTGAAAACTACTGTTTACCTTTTATTAAACGAGATGCGTATGAAAAACTTGAACATCTGATTGAGTCAGGGTCTCAGTCTCCTAAACAATCACCCACAAAAATAATCAACCTTTACCATCACCCAGGCTGTGGTGGTACTACTGTAGCCATGCATATTCTCTGGGAGCTGAGAAAAAAATTCAGGTGTGCTGTTCTAAAAAACAAAACAGTGGATTTTGGAGAGATTGGAACACAGCTGACCACTTTAATTACATATGGGACATCAAACAAGTTTGATTATTTGCCAGTGTTGCTACTGGTGGATGACTTTGAAGAGCAAGAAAATGTTTACCTGCTACAACATGCTATCCAATCTGCTATAACGGAAAATGGCATTATATACGAAAATCCTTTGGTCATCATCTTAAATTGTATGAGATCTCAGAATCCTGGAGAGAGTGCAAAGAGCAACAGTCTGAACAGTATTGCTCTGAAACAACAACTAACTCTGAAAGAACAAAGGGCTTTTGAAGAAAAACTAAAAGAAATTGAAGATCAATATGAGCACCCTGAAGATTTTTATTCATTTATGATTATGAAGAAAAATTTTGATCAACAGTATATAGAAAAAGTAGTGAAAAACACACTGAAAGGCTTAAATGTTACAAGTAAGCAAGCCCAACTGATTTCCTTTCTGGCACTGTTAAATTCTTATGTTACAGAGTCCACAATCTCAGTGTCACAATGTGAGGAATTTTTGGGAATAAGCACAAAAAAGGCTTACTGGGGTAAAGAAGAATTGGATGACAAGATGGGAAATTGTTCCAACATTATTATAAAAACTGAAGTGCAAGAACGTGGACGATACAAAGGGGTACGTATTAGTCACTCCCTGATTGCTGAGCAGTGCCTAGAAGAATTTAAGCAAACTTACAAGTTAACTAAGAGTGAGATTACATTGCTGTTGCTAAAAGAAAACTTATTTTATGACACTGGCATAGGGAGAGATAAACTTCAACAGGATGTACAAAGCATGCTGCTTACAAGGCACCGCAAGGAACATGGAGATGACATGGACACATTGTTTTCCCCACTCATTGAAGCAATTCAAAAAGAAGAAGGGAGTACAGAAGTTGAAAGCGTGTTGACTGAGGGAACTTGCAGATTCAACCAAAACGTGTTTATTAGTCAGGCTTTAGCAAGACATTTCTATATCAAGGAAAAGAATTTTGACCATGCACTAGAGTGGGCTAAAAAAGCTAAAAAAGCTGCCCCTAACAACTCATATATATCAGATACCTTGGGTCAAGTTTTTAAAAGCAAGTTAAAGCACTGGCTTGAAGAAAATACAGACAAATCAACAATAACTGTGGAAATTCTAAAATATTTGTTGAATCTTGCGAAGTCTGCCACAGAAGCGTTTAAAGAATCTCAACAACAAACAGAAAATAAGGACAGTGAAAGAGAATACTTTCAGAATATAAAATACAAGAGAAGATATGAAATGTATAATACATCTGGTTATCTAGGAGAAATAGAAACTGCTCTGTACACTATAGAGATCATTGAATCTATACCTGTGTTCAACAAAAAAGATGATCTCTCAAGAAAGCACATCATACAGTTCTTGTCAGGAAACGGGCCTATCCCAAAAGCAGCAAATGGTACAGACAGTGAAGAATATAGGCTGATACTTGAAGATTATGCTGATTATTTGAGTCACCTACAATCAAACGTAAAAAAAGCGTTTGATTTTTTTGAGAATTACTTCATCTTTCTAAAGCCAAAGAATCCTGAAAAAGAAATCGCAGAGCTTAAAATACGGAATAAGGTTCAAGAGTTTTTCAACAGGTATGCAGAAATATTTTGCCACTCTGATTCTGACAAGTTAATGAATTCAAAACTGAGTTCATCTTTGCAGCTGGAAAATTACAGAAAAAGTTTGGAAGCTTCCAAAGCAGACAAATTTTCTGGAATCTTGGAATATCTCAGCAGTCACGAAAATGCTGCAAGCAAAATGGAGGATATAGTGAAGAAATATAAAACTTTGCTTCTTCAAAGCTCCACAAAATTTATTCAAAGGGACAAATTGAATTTTATCTTGGCTAACATTGTCCTCCATTGCCTCAATCCAAAATCCAAGATGGTGCACTCTTTCCTGGAGCTGAGAGAACAGCTTAGAACAGTTCTACAGTCAGTAGGTCTAGAATACCGATATTCAGAACCATACTTTTTAGCTTCCTTATTGTTTTGGCCTGAAAAACAAAAGCTGCTAGATAAAGAGTCTAGGCAAATGGAAAAATACCTCACTTCACTGAAGAAGGCCTTTAATGGGCAATACTGGCAAATGTGCCGCTCCAAGCAAGCTATTGCACTTTTCTATCTCGGAAAAGGAAGCAATCTCAACAAATTTATTCACAAAGGAAAAATTGATCAGTCTATCACCAACAGGGGTAAGCACAAGGCAAGGTCCAAGATGGGTGATGAACTTAGTACTCTGTGGCAAAGTGGAGAGATATGGAAAACAGAAAATGCCCAAAACCTTTTACTTCGGTTGACTGGCAAGGCTGAAGATAACATCATCTATGTGGATTATGACATTGATGAGGATATCAGAATACCAGCACGGCCTGTTTTCTTAGGACAGCTAAAGAGTGGTCGCAGCATAGAACGAGTATCCTTTTACTTGGGATTTTCCATTGGAGGCTTGATAGCTTACGACATAGAAATCATTTAATTGCTTTTGATAACAGAGTCCTCTGTAGTATACATTTAATGCAGTCACCCTTTCCTTTTCACCTGCAAGAGACACATGACATTTCCTATGACTGCTGGATGTTTTCTCTTTGCTTTGAAGTTCAAAGATACTTTTTGCATTTGCAGTATAGCTCCTTTTGGCACAGTGGTTAAACTGCTGTACTGCAGCCAAAACTGTGCTCATGACCCTAGGGTTCAATCCCAGGTAGCCGGATCAAGGTTGACTCAGCCTTCTATCCTTGTGAGGTCGGTAAAGTGAGGACCCAGCTCCCTAAGGGGGCAATGTGCAGCCTGCATAATTAACATAAACTGTCCAGAGAGTGCTTGAAGCTCTGTGAGGCGGTATATAAGCAGCACACTTTGCTTTGTCTTGCTTTGCTTTGTGATCCTTCCAAAGTGGGCATGATTGAAGCAATGTCCCTTTCTTTGGCTATAGGAGAAATCTGATTAAAATGCCCAGTACCTGTTCAATCCATGTGTCATTTGACAAAGATCCATTATACCAGTCTTCACAGAATGTAACCACTGCATTGACTTTTTAAAAATTAAAATATGAATATGCAAATGAGGGAAAGCAGGCCTCAAGCTACCAGCATATCTGAAAACAACCCTGAGTGCCACAGAGGTAATCCACTCCTGCTTTAAGCCCATTTGGCCACACACAAGCGTAATCTATTTCTATTGAAGATTCTTTTGTATATTTCTCTAGGTTTACAAGAAAAATGAATGAAAATGAAATTATAGCTAGGGTATTAGAGTCTCTTGTCTTTGTCTCTAATTAAAAATATTCTACCATTAATTAGTCTAATTATCCAAATATTAGTACAATAATACTATCTGATGATACTACAGACTATTGCAATGCATCTAGTTTCATTTTGTTTGCTTAAACTGTTCTTGATTGCTGTGGGGTTTTTACATTTGTCAGTTTTTCTGTTAATACATTGTGTTTTAGTTGCTGATTTTATTGTAGTCAACAGTTCAGATTTATTTTGAGGATAAAACAGAATTCTCTTTAAAATGAGCTGAAATTGCTTTTTAACCTCTCATTATTTTTTGCATTTCATTCTCTTTTACTGTAAGAAAAAAATATATTATTCATTGCAATTGTATTCCAATTGGTACTACAGTGGACCCTCTACTTAAGGAATTAATCCGTATTGGAACGATGGCTGTAAGTCGAAAAGTCTGTAGGTCGAATCTCCATTGACCTACAATGCATTGAAAACTGATTAATCCCACAACTGGCAGTATTTATTCTATTTTTGTTCCATTTTGGTTTTTTTCTGGTCTGTAAGTCGATTCTCCGGCTGCAAGTCGAATCTAAATTTTGCAGCCAGAGAAGTCTGTAACTCGAAAAGTCTGTAAGTCGAGCCGTCTGTAAGTCGAGGGTCCACTGTATGAGTTTTATAAATAAGCCTTGTCAAAATAAACCTATTTTGATGACTTGTTTTTGGACAAATGTACTGAGAAGCTGGGTAGATGAGCTGTTTAGTATACACATAACCAATCAGATGGAGATATATTCACAAAGGCTTTCATGGCCGGGATCTAATGGTTGTTGTGGGTTTTTCGGGCTCTTTGGCCGTGTTCTGGAGGTTGTTCTTCCTAACGTTTCGCCAGTCTCTGTGGCCGGCATCTTCAGAGGACAGCAACCTGTGCTCACAGAGACTGGCGAAACGTTAGGAAGAACAACCTCCAGAACACGGCCAAAGAGCACGAAAAACCCACAACAACAATCAGATGGAGAGCTTACCAGACTAGAGAAAATATATATAGTGATTCAGCTGTTCAGGAAAACCTTAACCCTAATCCTATCCCTTTGGCAGCTCCAAGCAGTTCCTCCCTGGCCACTGCTCATGTAATGCAGGGATCTAGCAATTATACACAAGTGGAAAGCCCCTTTTAAAGCAACAGGATGTTCCCTGGCTTGTGCAATTGCAAGCTAGAGACTGACAGCCCTCAGACTGTTCTGCTCTGCTCCACAAAAAGGAACACAGTTGTCACTATAAGCTATATCTCGTTGGAGGCTACCAAAGGAAAATGCATAATATAAATTACAGTGGTACCTCGACTTATGAACGTCTCTACTTATGAACATTTCAAGATATGAATGACTCCATTCGCAAAATTTTGCTTCGACTTGAGAACAGAACCACAACTTACAAATGCAAAAAACCTTTCCTGCCCTTTTTTTAACCTAAGTTCATCTTAGGTCAAAAGAAGAAAAGAAATTTTAAAAAAAATCTCCCCCTAGTGGTAGAGTATGGACTAACTGGCTTTGCATTAGTTCCTATGGGAACTAATGCATTGTCATGAGTTCAGCAGAAGATTTGGAACCTGAGGGGTTAACTGTAGCTGAGGAGAATGCTGAGCGATTAGAAACACAAACAGCTGAATTGCCCCCAGATTCTTCTCCCCCAGTAGACAGGGTGAGGGCCAGACTTTGGCACGCTTCCACACTTCTGACTACCTTGAACCTTGTTCTTTGGACCCTTGGCTTTGGACTTTGCCCCTGGACTATGCTGTGCAATTTGGCTTTGGACTCTGACCCTGGACTATGTTGTGTGAGTTGGCTTTGATATTTGGATATCGACTCTGCATTCTCTGAACTTCTGACATAGGACTGGCTTATCAGACTCTGCTGTTGTAACCCCTGGGAATGTGACATGCCTCTACTTGCAAACAGTGCCTTGACATAAGAACGAAAAACAGTCAGAATGGATTATATGGTTTTCAATGCATTCCTATGGGAAATTTTGCCTTGACTTATGAACTTTTTGATGTATGAACACAGTTCAATACAGATTAAGTTCGTAAATTGAGGTACCACTGTACATCTCATTCCTAAATCAGCTTTAACTTACAAAAAGAAAAGAGATTAACAATGCAACTACAATATATACCGTATTTTTCCAATTATAAGATGCCCTGATGTATAAGACAACCCCCACTTTTCTAACCCCAAATTAGAAAATTTGATTGCTGCTTTCCGCTCCACTTCCTAAGCCCCACAGAGTTTAGCAAAAGGAGGAAGAAAGCTGTGAGCAAAGTGATCCTACAGCCCTTTGACTGCTGCTTTTCCCCTCCTTTTGCTAAGCTCTGTGGGGCTTAGCAAGTGGAGGGGGAAAGCAGCTATCAAAGTGTGTGAGGATTGCTTTAATCCATTCTCCCCCTTCACTTGTTTTTCTTCTCTCCTCAGCTTACTTCTGTGTATAAGACAACCCTCAATTTTTAGTCTAAAGATTTTAGACAAAAGTATCGTCTTATACACGGAAAAATACAGTACAGTGATGCCTCACATAACGAGTGCACCGTTTAACAATGAATCCGCATAGCGATCTATTTTTTGCGATCGCATTGCGATGTTTTAATAGCGTTTCGCTTACGGATCTTCACATTGCGATGTTTTTAGAACAGCTGATCGGCGGTTCCAAAGTGGCCGCCGGGTGCCCAAAATGGCCGCTGCAAGCATTTTCGCACAGTTTCCTCGCTTACCGAGGTGGCGAAAATGGCGGAGCTATGGAGGATCTTCGCTGAACGGTGAGTTTCGGCCCCACAGGGGCTTTTTATTTCCATTTCCGGATAGCAGCGATTAATCTGGAACAGTTTAACGTCGCTATGCGGGGCACCACTGTAATCTTATCCTATACACTAATAAACACATTCTGTGAGTGCCAGTCCTTTTGTAGTCAAAATAGTACAGTCTCTGTACAAAAGTAGGAAATATCAAGTAGCCTAAGTGACCTCCAGGTTTTCAAACTACTATCAAAAAACCAGAAACATTATTTGATGGAAAAAAGCTAAATGATGAGGGGACACAAAGCTACGCAATGGGGACTACCCTGTTTTCTCCAAAATAAGACCTAACCTGAAAATAAGCCCTAGTATGATTTTTCAGGATGCTCATAATATAAGCCCTACCCCCAAAATAAGCCCCAGTTAAGTGAAACCCCCTTTGTGCTGCAACCAGAAGAAGATGACATGACTGTATTTGAATAAGTGTAGAGTGTTGCAGGAGGCTCTTGTGGTGTTGGAAGAGGCTCTTGAGAGTCCCCTGGACTGCAAGGAGAACAAACCTATCCATTCTAAATGAAATCAACCCTGAGTGCTCACTGGAAGGACAGATCCTGAAGCTGAGGCTCCAATACTTTGGCCATCTCATGAGAAGAGAAGATTCATTGGAAAAAACCTTGATGTTAGGAAAGTGTGAAGGCAAGAGGAGAAGGGGACAACAGAGGATGAGATGGTTGGACAGTGTCATCAAAGTGACCAACATGAATTTAACCCAACTCCAGGAGGCAGTGGAAGACAAGAGGGCCTGGCATGCTCTGGTCCATGGGGTCACGAAGAGTCAGACATGACTAAATGACTAAACAACAACAACAGAGTGTTGCACAGGAAAAAAAATAAAGCATCCCTAAAAATAAGCCCTAATGCTTTTTTTTGGAGCAAAAAATAATACAAGACCCTGTCTTATCTTTGGGGAAACATGGTAAATACATTCAGTGTCCAAAAATGGTAGTCAATTTAGAGGAAAGAAACTAGAGATAAGGTATAGATAGAGTGCCATAAACCTGTACTCAAGAATGCAATTTTCTTGCATGTCCCACTTAACCATTTTCTAAACGCATACAATCATTTCACTACTGTGTTCAGCTACATCCTACATCTTCCTAATAATTCAACCTGCATTAGTCACAAAAACTGTGCACCAGCTTCTAACTTTCCATCACATTTTTTTAAAGGTAGAGTTTCAAACTGTACACATGTCCTGTTGGATTACCACACTCCCAAAAAACAGCACACACCTCAGGCTGAGTGATAGCTTTATTATTTGGTATCCTGCACTCAACAAGGCCTGCAGACTTTCAGCACTGATGAAGGTGAAGAAGAGGAAGTTCTTTTGCAAAAATTAAAAATTATTGTTTCAAAACTGTTTGGATTTCAGTATGGAAACCAAGTGCTACCTGCTGTGCACATCCCATTACAAACTGTAATCTTTATGGTAATTAAAATTCTAGGAGAAATATCAAGCAGAACTAATCTACATCAACATACTTCTTTGCCGGTCCTGCAGCGGAAAGAGAACCTTCTGCAGCCTTACATGTATTAGCACAGAAGCCACTAGGTGGCACTGGGCATGAAGATTTGACAGTTTGAAAAATAAAATTCTGCTGCTTAAGGAAAAGTCCTGTGTTAGATCTATGGCAGGGGCAGTGTTAAGACTGCAGCTCTCCTCAGTCTTAGTCAACACAGCATAGCCAATGGTGCACCGTGCGGAGAGTTGTACTGAAACAACATATGAAAAGCCACAGTTGGCCACTTCAGAGCTAGTCTGATTCAGAGTGCAGGAGGCCTTTAAAACTTATCTTTAAGGTGACATGAGACTTTTATTTTTTTACTAACTCTGTGATATGTGTGTGTGTGTGTGTGTGTGTGTGTGTGTGTGTGTGTGTGTGTGTGAGAGAGAGAGAGAGAGAGAGAGAGAGAGAGAGAGATAGAGCGCAATTAGATTCTCTTCATTCTAGCATTGCTTCCTGTTGCAGATGCAGTCAAAAGCAATTTCTGAAGAATGTGTTTCTGTTATGTATCTGAGAATATCTGCAAACCTTTCAGTACATAATTGTAAGATCCAAAAACAGAAGCAGTGAATGCCGCTTTCCCCTCCACAAGGTGCTGAGCTTAATCAAGGGTTAAACAATTCTCTGTGAAAACTGAAAATTTCCACAGCTGTGTTT